ACTTCCCGAAGCTCAGATGGGGCCGCGTAAGTTAGCTTTTGCTCTTTTTGCTAGCCGTTGGTCAGCAACGGCGTGTATTGATGAAAAATATTCCAGCAAAAGACTACGGTCTGTTCTTGGCTGACGAAGACCCCACAAAGGGCGTTTGGCTAGAGAACGGGAAATCCTTGGAGTACTACCTCGTTCGATCGGGTGTAAGTGGTGACGTGTCGTCGTGTGAAAACGACGATCTATTTGGATCGCTTTCAGGATCTCTTGGAGTATCGCAAGAAAATTCGCACCCTCAAGGTGAGGATGCTAGACGGGTCAACTAAAACGATGCTGGTCGATGACAGCCAACCTATTGGTCAACTGATGATCGCTGTCTGCTCGAGAATAGGTAAGGTCACCGACTTCTGTCTCAATAGCTCAGGTTTTCCTGTTTAGGGATCACCAATCACGACGAATATTCATTGGTACGCGAGCTTCCTCCGGAAGAGGAAAAGGTGAACACCCTGCGGAAAGACGACAGCATGTCGAAGCTTGGCACGCTGACGCTCAGCCGGTCGAAGGAAAAAAAGATGGAACTACTGAGGAAACAGCTGCACACGGACGAGGAATGTACGACTAATGTCAGTAACCGTACGACTCTTTGCAAATAATGAATCTTTAGTAAATTGGGTGGACCATTCAAAGACTTTGCGCGAACAGGGCATCGACGAAAACGAAACCGTTCTTCTGCGGCGCAAGTACTTCTTTTCTGACCGAAATATCGACGCCCGAGATCCGGTGCAGTTGAACCTGCTTTACGTTCAAGTACGGAGTACTGATTCTCGATTTAATTAACTTGAAGCCGGCTGAAACTCTACTCCAGCATTACTGAATTATTTTTGAGAGGCTGTACTAAAATATCAGCCGTCGAAAATCATTCATAATGGTGCAGTATAGGCATTATTCCAAGGAAGTTTTCAGTGGGATCTAGGAGCTGGTTTTTGATTGAAGTTAATAAATAGAGGTTTATTTAAAGATTTTTTCATTCAGCTAGTAATATAGTTTAATTTGGACTCAGGGACTGTGCAGGCCAAGCTTGCGTCCAAGGTGACAGTCAAGTCTTTTGCAGTTGTCCTCCAGTTTTTTGGATGATTAGAGTTATTTTGGTGCCGGGGTCCTGGCTTTTCTGCATACACTTTCAGTAGGATCCAGAGCGCAGAAGGATTGACAACCACACCCCAGAGACCTCTAAAGCCACCCTCTCTTACTCCTCCCTTACCGAGGGGACTGAATTGAACAAATCAAACGTTTGCAAATCCCCAAACAATCTCGGTAGGCGTCTTAATGTTAAATTCTATTCGTAAAAGGTGTTGGAATATTATGTCAGATAAACTGCTCCTGTAGAAATAGCTGCATTGAAAAGACCGATAGGACACTGAAGAACTAGATCAGATGAAGTGAACATGGCTTGTCTCAGCAAAGCACATGGAATAAATTCTGTCGTTGCGGAGCGCAGCGTACTACAGAACCACATCATGCAAGGTGACACTAGTAACATCGTCCGAACTTTAGTCAAACGGCGAAAAATTTTTTTTGAAACAACCACAGTGGAAAGATCAGAAAGCAAGATAAAAGGCAGAAGGAAACTTACAGCGTCAGTCAACATGGCTTATTCTGTAAAATGATACGAATTGTCGAAACTGTGCTCTGTTTAAGCTCACGTCTCGTTTCAAACTCATCGTTACCTCTTTTATCCTTTGAACGTAATTCCACAAGACCACGGTTTTCATCTTTCTTACGGGGTTGCTGCTAATGTAGGTTTGTTTTTGCAGAAATTACTGACGTTTCGACCCATGCTTCGCACATTGTCAATTTATCTTGACGATCATGCTGTTGATCTTCCACTTATAGGAAAATCCTCGCTATTCAGGTCTTGCAACCTCGAACCAAAAACGTTCAAAATGCACTAGGAGAAGCCGCGACTTCGGAACGAAAACAGAGCTCATCATCCAAAAGATTGGGAGGATAACCACTCCAGGTTTGACCCTTCCTACAGGTAGTTCGCCACTTTGAGATGTAGATCTTGCTCCGGATTCAACAATGGTTAGGTACTCAGTGAATTCGAACTAAGCTATCGTATTTTCCCATTGATAGCCCGCGCTATCTCTACAAACAAGTCGTCAGTGAAAAAAAAGTTGCACGTTATGCAATGAAAAACGAGAAAATTCCAAATTAATTTAAGCTATCTATGTACGCGATAATTTGAAGATGCGTATATTGTGAAAATAAATTAGTCGGTGACCATATAAATATTGCAGTATTAAGGAATATAGTGGTTAATATAACAAGCCAAGATAAAAGTAAAACATGAAACCTAAAATAACATTTATTGTGGATAAGTAATACAAAAAAGTCATTCAAAACCATTGAACGCTTGATCTGATCAATGTAAAATGACTCAAGAACATTATTCAGTTCATCACTCTGTTCGTTCTCTGAAATTAATCCTGCGTCAACTTCTGTTTCTGGCGTTGTAGTATCTGGTACATAGCCTATTGTTGTTAAAACCCGTTTTCTACACAAGATACCGTAACACCTTGCCAACTTTCATGGATCTACTTGCACATTTCTTCACATAATACCCTTTTAATCTTCCCCAATTTACTATATTTCCCCAATCTTCTGCAATATATTTAATCTTCCCCAATTTAATATACTGATTCCAGTCATTATCCACTTCTCCCATCTGGAGCGTAACTTTGATTTAAAAGATTTATTAACGGATAAATCAAGCGTCTAAAGCTTTTACGTTAATCCACCCGGAATATTTGCCAATTTTGGAGTTATGCCAATTCGGAGGATTCTTGGTTGCGTAGTTTACAATTTAGGCGCTGATGTCCTTTGATCAGGTGGCATCGATGTCACGCTATCGTTGAATCTCGTGCAACGTTCAGAAAATCTGTGCTGCTCTAGTGCAACTCAGTCAGTTGGTTTCGACCTCCACTTATGCTTTCAGGTCACAGAGGCAACTGCCTCAGAGAATGTGACCAGCGTTTGAGCTTCGGCAGAAGATAACCGATACTCAAGCAGAGTCCTTCGAAAACACTTGCCTCCGGTTATTCTTGGCCGTACCCTGGATCTTCGATCGATCGGTTGGGCAGTTAGTGCTTCTTTCATATTCCTCTCAGGAAGCATTCACATAACGTTCTAGTGCAACAGATAGGGACATATAATTTTTTACGGTTCAACGAAAGTGACATCATAAGAGTGTGGCTTTTTTCTCTTTCGATATTTCCGTTTCTTGCATGCTGAAGTTCACAGCTTATTTACATGATCTTACGGGATCTGAGGCATTTGACGAGCAACCGTTCATCGATTTCCTAGGTGTTTGCGAATCACCGAAAAAGAATGATAGATCTTCGAGTAGCATCTTATCATCGCGTGTTTGCGCACAGTGTCTAAGAGCTCTGTGGCAAACCCTGGAAGTGCTGAGTGCGATTCCACTCGAAGACTGTCTTTGTCCATTCATGAATGCTTCAGTGAAAAAGGAATTTATCACACATTTCTTTAGACCTTTGTTGCTCAGTCGGTAGAAGGTGGAAACTTCAGAGTCGATAGGTCCGGGTTCAAACCCCGATCGGGGTTATTTACTCTTCTTCGTTCTGAGGTTGATAAATGACTTCCACTTTATGGGAAAGGAACAGGAGACTGCACGCTACGCTTTTCATATTGCTATAAACACTGCTCTGCTACTAAAGATGCGACACTCCTGATTTATGGCATTAAAATCGAGATCAACCTCTCACCATCGACTTCCTGAAAATAGCTAGCCGTGAAAGTGAAGGAATACGGCGTTGCAATGGTTCTGATTTTCCTTCTTTCCTTTTCTTCATCACCGCTGATTCGTTTCATTCAGTGATTCCTTTGCGGAAAGCGAGAAATAGAGACAGAGGGAAAGAGTGAGAAAACGAGAGTTTGTGCAGGTATTTATGTACTCAGTATTTATTCATACTACGCAGGAAGATGCTTGTTTCTAATTTCAGCTCTAGCATATATGCAACAGGAAAACTGTTATTACGTGATGCCTATAGAAAGCAAGAAACAACATGACACCATAAGGGTACCAATTAGATGACTAACCGCTGATTTTCTGTACAAGTCAATTTTTGTTTTCAAAATTTTGAAGTTTCCCCGTTAACGAAACGCTAAAATAGCAGGCTGATAAATTTGCATGAAACGGGTGGATAACGTTCTGCAGTGTCAGTCTTCACCCCGAGACTGTATCATACAGGTCTTGAGAGTGCCCTGACACTCCGCGCAAGAGCATGGAATCCCGGTTCGTTAAGACCCCAAAAATAGACTTAGATCAAAACGACATAGGTGACAGTTGGTGGTTCGCAGCACATTATGAAGTGTGTTACATTTATTGTGATTGTCATTTAAGATTGTAAGGGCATACGATTTCTGAAAGAGGTATTTCAGTGACTCCGTGTCTCACTTGACGGTATTCTCAATGGCCCAGATTCTGAGGCTCGACGATGTCGAGGGTTCATATGTCCTAATTTATCTGACTAGCCACCCAGCTGCGCATTAATTGCCTTCTACCGTGCCGTTGCCATGAAGCTTTGTCCTCTCAACTAGTATCCGGATCAGATATTGATGCGCGGACGAATGAGCGACTCAGAACCGACGTATATTGATTATTCAGTTTGTAGAGCCTCATGCTTCAAACTGGCAATATGATCACCATCGTAAAGAAAATTTTGAATTCAGGGATTATGTTTTGTTTGAACGATAAGGCCAGTCGATTAAACGTCGCAACCATTTAATTTTACCCATTGTCAACCGACGGCCTTGACTCATTTGGCTTTTCAGATGTCGCGGTGAATGCGGTATCCTTGCTTTCTTCGTCACCATTGTCCTTGCTACCTGTCCTTTCCAATATCTGTTAGGATTACACAAGAGCGGAGCTGCCAGATTTGATACGCAATGGTCAGCATGGGCGGGTCGGTTCTGTCTGAACGATGACCACACATTGAATAAACTTTGACATCACCGGAAACCGATCATACTGTTCTAGTTTTCCTATGACCTTTCATTACTTGCTACCCGCAACTTAGTTATCGAGTTTAATGTAATTCATCGTTCAGACAGTTAACCATTAATATGAAAACGTACGCAACTTACCACTGGAATTTAGCTTATTTAACTTTCAACATAAGGATAGCGATAAATAACTATGTCAGTCTTTGCCCGTAAACATTAAAGGCAATCGGTAAAACCTTTGCCCCTGAAGTCATGAGGTCATTTGGTATGGCCGTGAAGACTCAAGTACAAATATAACAAACGAACTCTTGTTTCATAGTCGGTTTGAATTTCACAAGCAACTTTATTATCCGTACATATTCGTCGCTGAACATATGATTCTTGTCCCTATGGAAATCTTGAAATTGCTCGTAGGGTACCACTTGTACCAAAACGTGCAATATCCTCAGAACTGTACACAGACAAATTAATGAAATGCATATTAATTGCATGCGTTCATTAATTGCAATACTTCGTAAGCGAAATACCGTTGTATTGTAAATAATCCGTTATGCGAGTTCACATCCAGTATGACTGAGTCATAAACTCAATCGGCAGTTCTCAAGTATTCTCTATTTTCCGATTTCTTCCTGCATCGCTCACCACGGGATCATTTCAACTTGTTCTTAGATGTTCGACTGCACGCTGATGGTCCAGCAGAAGCCAATTTGTAATTCATGATGCTCTCCGATTGTCTTTCAGACTATCCACATGACTGGTCCATCTTCTGTTGGCGTCGA